GCCTACACGCTACCTTTTCATTAAAAATTAATCCTTCGCATCAGCTGTATTGTGGACTTCTAACTGTAGTTAGACCCAAAAGGCTGTCTTCTGAAACAGTTAACAATTTAAATTATCCCAGAACAACCTGTTTTTATTTTGCTCCCAACCTCAGATCTGATCCTTGGGGAACAGAGCTGCTACGCAACCGCCTGACAGGAGCTGTCTAACCACCAAGAACAACCACAAAGTCCCAGTCTCTGAGAATACTTCAGCATGCCCCTCCTGCCTGTAAAATCATTCCTGATGAGACATCCAAATCTTTTTAAGTAGAAGAAGAAAGGGACTCAGATTGTTAACTTTGCAAGAGGCTAATTAGAAAAATATTTTAATGGTGTGGACATCAAATACATTCAATTGCTAGCTAGCCATCAACAGAAAATTCTTCTCAATCACAAATTAACAGATAGTGTGGTGTGTCAACTTTCTCACCCTTCACGAGTTTTTATTAAAGCTATTAGTATACCATTATTTTTAATATTAAGGAAATGCCTTTATTGTGAATCTAATACTTCAATCTTCAACAGTGGCCAAGAAGTATCTTCCATACTTATTCTGGACCTCCACGCTGTAAAAGAAAAGCGGACAGTTAAACATATCCCACTGAAAGAACAGGAAATGGGGATCAAACCTTCTTTGCACTGTTACAGACTAACAGAGTTCTAGTTTTAATTTGTGATTTGTATATGGATTTTTAATCTATATAAGAACATGCAGAATGGCAAATATCAGCATCTACCAGTAAGAGCTCAATTTTTTTCAGGGCAGATTACAAAAAGATCAACACATGCGACCTACAATTGCAGCTCCATCGTTGCAGCTCCATCCACTTCTCCCACTCTGAAGAAACCTGACTCTTACTCACTTTAGAAAGGTCTGACAAACACAGCAGTAGTGAACACAAGTTTCAGAATCACTTTCACTGCCCAAAGTGCAAAGTAAAAAACAAAGCCTAGGTGAGCCATTACAATCTTTAAGAGAAAATCAGAAAGGTACTCAATTAATTATTTTCCCAACAAAATTATTTTACACCGTACCTCACCGTTAGAAAATTTATGCTAGCGGTCCAGAAGTGTGTTACTATCGGAAGTAACTAATTTTATTTCCAATTATAATACCCCACCCATATACATGCAGGAAAACTGATTTCCTCTACTAACAGGATGACACTGTAGGTGTCTTTAACAAAGCTATGCAAGCATCTTTTAATTTCAAACTCACAGCCATCTCAAGTTTTTCAAATTTTGTGCATTCTCCCTTTTTAAGCATCCGCGTTTACAGCTGAGAATTGTTACAGAAGAAAAGCAGTTTTTTCTTGCTTTTCACATACAATGTCATGTTTACAAATATTGCGGAAAATATTTATGTCAAGCTTAATGAAATGTTTCCACTACTAGAAATACAAGAGTTAACTTACTAATAAATAACTTATAAAAACTAGTTTGAGAAATATTTTGGACTTCAATCACCTAGTAATAGCCTTCCCTGGTCGAAGAGCAGACTCCTGTGCTCCTGTCCAGCACATTCAAATTACACATTAAACGGCTGTTACGAAACAGGTAGTGATAGTGATTAATGTAGGCTATGATGATCATTAGCTATCTGCATGTCTGTTTTAAGTCCGTATCTCTCTACTCAGCAATACCACAAGCTACTAACTAGTGAGAGTTGGGTACCTTCTGTATTAAGAATTTGTAGCTTGAGTATTGTGCATGAAAGCTATGAAAGCTGGGAGTGCACCCTCATCAAGCATTACAATGTAATACCAGATTTGAAACTCTGAAGAAGGTGTAGAAGTTAAGCTAAATGGTAGGTAAATACAGACAATACACACCAATAAATGAAACTTACTTGAATATATTCAATCTCTTCATCTGACATAAGTTTCCTTCTGTATTTCTTAGGTAGGGTTCTTGCTAATTCAGAAGTGTCTGGTGTACCTTGTGTTCTACTAACAGGTGAAACAGTTTGAAAGGCCGGTGATCTGCCTCCTACTGACTCCTCTGCTTTTGAAGCATAGAGAGACGGCACACTTGCTTGTGGAGACTCCTGTACTGAAACCCAATTGCAAAACCATTTACAGAGATGTAGCAAGACTGTAAAATTAATTAATGAGCAACCAATAAAAGTTACCAGTTATTGACAATTTTCTTCATTATAACCAATACTTAGAAGAATTAAGACACTACTTCTCACAACCTGTTTTTATTGTTGTTAAATATATCAAGAGCATAGTGAAAAAATTCTGACAATGAAAGAAAGCATGTTTGAGTGGCAGAAATACTGATGTCGAAACAGGAGATAAATCAGCATATATCCTAACAAGGATTTTTCACTGGCAAGCTGTACTTACAGAAAAAGCATAAAGTATCACAAATGTCTGTGTGGTGGCAATTATGTAGAAAGATAACTAAGATAAATCACCAAGATCCACTGAGAGGATGCCTTTTGTTTACTGCAACTGTAAAGACAGGTAAATGAAAAAGAGGTGGAGGCTTACAGAAAGATAAAGCTGACAACTATGACATACTACTACAACAACATGCAATGCAGTGTTGTACCCATTTTTAATATTACAAAATGGAACCATATCAAATTTTGTTAATGATGTGCAGAATGACCACCGAGTATCAGGCATCAGCAATCAATGTTAATGAAATGCAGAGACTAAGGAGTGGATGAAGAATTTCACAGGTGAGGGCCAAAGGTGAAGTTGCCTTGAGTCTGATGATAGGAGAAAGGTTGACAAAAGAGCAGCATTGTCAAAGTCAGCATTCTGAACCGTAGATCTGTCCCACCATGGCTGATTTTACAATGGAAGTAGGCAGTTACCCCACCAGGCAGGCTGGAGTCTTACAGCAATATATTTACTTCATAAGCACTCAGACCTCTATATATAAGGTTAAAACAACTGATAAAGCAGAATGCTTCCACAGGAATTCCCTCTTAGTGCTCCTAAAAAACGGGCAAGACAAAGGCAACATCTAGACAGCTGGGACAGAGGGACTATATAATCATAAAATAAGCAGCATCAAGACTGGATGAGTCAATGCGAGGAGTTAAAATACCACAGAGCTTTTTTTCCCTCCTGCCTCCAACAAGATCAATGAGGACAAAAGAGAGGAGCCAGTTTTAGCCACAGTGAGACTAAGTCAATGGCAGGATTGGGACATCAAACACCTGCAGCAATGTGATCAAACCACCATCGGTCAAAAACCAGAAAAACACCATTGAGACACATATTCAGAAGTTCTCAGTCAGAAGACTGTATCTGAAAGTTCCAACTTGATGACACGGTTCAGGAACAATGGAAAGTCCCAGAGCAAGGAAGAAGAGAGTCCATCAGAAGGAGCATATTCTGAACAAAGGGCAAAGTATTTTTGTTTCAAGAAATAACACACCTTATATATGGAAAAAAAACCCAAGAAACAGTTTCTCCAAGTTTGTTTCACACACCACAAAAAAGTCTAGAGATTTGCCAAGGATTTTCCCCTATTGTATGTTTCAGTCTGAAGCATAGTTCGAGTAGATGCGTCAACCAATTAAAAACATCGGAAGTCAAGACTTAAAAGTACCAGACGTAATACTGCTGTTGCTTTAGCTCAGATACAATCTCTAGTACATTTTTCCCTTCCCTGTTTGAGACCATCATGTTGCAGTAGTCGTACGGAGGAAGAATTTCGCTGGCCTTTCAAGCACCCACATTCCTAAAGGTTTAGTCTTGATCTGCAGAATTTTGTTTGACTATGTAGAAGCAAAAGTCTGGTACACTGAAACAGTTATTGCCACAGCGTTCAAGCAAGATGAGGTAGATTGCAATTTACTAATAAGATGACAGAACCTGACTAAGGTAGAAAAGTCTAACATACTTAAAAGATATAGTCACAAAAATCTTCTGATGCAGAGATAAACAAGAGGTAAGTAACACATTTTCAAGCCTTTGAGAAAGCAGTTGAATGGCCTGAGAGGCGGTCCATTTGGCTGAACTGGGCACAACATAACAGAATTCTGACAGAAAGTTCATCACTGAAAATAGTTCCTGAAGAGTTCACAGATAAGTCAGAAGTAGCACTGATGTGCACTGTAGACACTTGGTAATGTTAACGGATAACCTAAACTTAAATCACAAATGCGATAACGCTGTGGCAAATAACGTTGTATGGTATCATTTCTAAAGAAGTGAGAATAACATGAGAGCTTCTTAAGATATCCCCTACTTTAGTTTCAAATGTTTTGTTGACTCAAAACGAGCATTAAAACAACATACTGCTCATATAACTTTGATGTTTAAATGTAACAGTATTGAGAATCCTATAAATATCAACATAGATAGAAGTATAAAAATTAATGCCAAATATTGCAATTAAATTAATTTTTTCTCAGCATTAATTAGTAGCACAAGGAAATACTTCTTAAAATGTACCGTGGTATGGCTCTCCCAGCTATAATCACGGTTTTAAAGAGCACAGACATTGCACACTCCAACTAAGAAAAGACGAGGAAAACACAACATCACTTCTGCAAATATCATTGAATACCTCAAGCTGCTTCAAACTGACTTGGGCACAACCATTTCAAGCAAATATTAGTATTTTGAGAGACTTATATATAAGTAGAAAAACAACACTGGAAATCGTTGTGATCTTGTCTTGACCAAGAAATAAAGACATGCATGTATTATGTATATTCCCACAGCTGTATACAGCCTGAAAGGGAAGAGTCAAAGGGCTGTCTTCAAACTTAACTATGTTTCAGAAACCCTGCTCAAAATGAGTCGAGTTGCATAGTTGGAACATAAAAATTGTGTGCTGGTTCTTATATAAGACAGTTAATGCAAAGACAGGTGGTGTGAGTTGCATCTATACATGAAATACTTACTTTTAGGTCTGGGACTACTTTTTCGGTCTGGGAACTTAATTAACGGAGTATGTGGCTTGACTACCTAGAATAAGGCAATGTAGCAGGAGAAAGAAGGAGAGTAAAATATATTTCTAGACACACATTACCTTCACAATAATAAAATGGCACATACAATGTATTAAACAACCACTTCTAGAGTGCTGATTTCTGCAGCACCACTCCGATACACTTCCTAATTCAAGTTCTATGTTTACCCCAGGAGAATTTCACCTTTAAAGGTATCCTTCCACCATAGTGTCCAGAGCAGGAACAAGCATGCCCTTCCTTTTCTCTCAGCAATCACTGTGTCTGTGTGCAGAAACAGCTACTGTAGTCGCATAAATGCAATTACAAAGTTTTAGCACGTGGAAGTGCTAGCTGTGCTCTGCCTGTACATATCGGTTCATCTGGCTGGACGAAATTGTGTAATTCCATTAAGGAAAAAAAACTATAAATTATAAAGCTTAGTAGTCGAAGCCACACTGCTTATTTTTGAAACACTTCTTCTAATTCCACGTCTCGCCCCGTCACCTCGAAGAAGGACGGCTTAGAAAGGAGCTGCCGGTGAGAGCCCTCCCCTCCTGAACAGCGCAAAAAGGATGCGGACTGCGCTGTAGCATCCTTTGGTACCAGAGATCCAGGCATCGGCATCGAGCGACCGGCGACAAGGGGC